TGTGGATGAGAATGGGAGGATCCTCACTGGGGTGGGACTCCCTGTGTATCGGGCTTCAGTCAGATTGATCACTGCCCCCCAGCCCGTGGTAACGCCCCGAGATGTGCTCTGAGGTGCTGGCACCAATGGGCCAGTTACCACCGCCACCCCAGTCCCTGCTCCTTCCCCTGAGAGCCACCCGGGGAACACCCAGCCCGGGCGCTGTCCTCCGGAGGGTCGCCCATCTCACACCTTCCTGTGTGTTTCAGGAGCTCAACCTGGGGAGGAGAGAGGAGTATGACCTTCTGGATAAGAGACGGGGCCGAGACCCTGAGATGGGCGGAAAGCAGGTCGGACATTGCTCTTTCTGCCTGTGTGTGTCAGTGTGTGTGTTAGTGTGTGAGTATGAGTGTGTGAGGATGTGTTAGTGTGTTTCAGTCAGTGTATGTGTATGTCAGTGTGTGTGTGTGTCAGTGTGTATGTGTGAGAATGTGTCAGTGTGTGTGTCAGTGTGTGTGTGAGAGAATGTGTCAGATTATGTGGGTCAGTGTGAGCGAGTGTGTGTGTGTCAGTGTGTGTGAGTGTGTCAGAGTGTGTGTGTCAGTGTGTGAGAATGTGTCAGAGTGTGTGAGAGAGAATGTGTTAGAGTGTGTGTGTCAGTGTGTGTGAGTGTGTCAGAGTGTGTGGGTCAGTGTGAGCGAGTGTGTGTGTCAGTGTGTAAGAATGTGTCAGAGTGTGTGGGTCAGTGTGTGTGAGTGTGTCAGAGTGTGTGGGTCAGTGTGAGCGAGTGTGTGTGTCAGTGTGTGAGAATGTGTCAGAGTGTGTGTGTGTCAGTGTGTGTGAGAATGTGTCAGAGTGTGTGGGTCAGTGTGTGAGTGTGAGCTGAGTGTGAGTGGGGGGGCCAGGGTGGAGGAGAGGGCCCTTCAGAGCCGCACCCCACACTCCTCCGCTGCCCCCTCCCTGCCTCATGAGGGGCCTGGAGGGAGGACAGATGGAGGCCAGCTTCCTGCGGCCCCTCCCGCCCCCTGGGCCGTGGGTCCAGGCCACCCTGATGCGCTCACAGCAGCGCCACCTGCCCAGGAGCATAGAGTTGGGAGGCCCACAGGAAGGGCCGGGCCGCTGGACGCGGGTCCCTGGGTCCCAGGTGCCCTGTGAGCATGGCCGCCAGGCGGCTGTCACCTGTGCCAGGGGAGCGGCTGGGTGAGGCCAGGGAAACGCTGCCTGACACCGCCTGTGGCCCTTGACCTGTCCAGTCACAGCTGTCCATGCAGCCCCCCCACAACCTCTGAGCTCCACGTAGGGTTGTTAGAATGAATAGCAGGTGGGGGAGACCCCCTCAGCCCTTCCCCCTCCTTCCCGGGAGA